CCAAGTGTGGTACGTACAGCATCTGCCCTGTTAGCTTTGCACTGCAAATATTTTTGCTTTGGATCTTTCCGTACGGTCCGTAGACCTGTAGCTGGATGAAAGCACCGTTGGGATGTGAGCCTCTTGGCACCACTGTGACATGGGCTGTGGCACGTGGTCCTGTGCAATGAGGAAGGTTTCTCTGGTGATGCAGCAGAGCCAGGAAGATATCTGGCTGCATATTTCTCAGATTTAACATTGGAATTTAAGGTACACCCTTAGTCATGTATGTTTATCTTCTTGGGTGCTGATGTTTTCTGAGTAAGCAGATGCACACCCAGTTTCAGCCGGCAGCGCTCAGCTGAGGTCAGAACTGAGCTCCCCTTCCTGGAGACCAGTGCCACCTCTGAGTTTCTCTGAAGAACTTCTGGTGTGGCAGATTTTGTAAATCACTTTAAGGATCTGTTTGCAGTATAAATGCCTAGACAGCTGGAGAAAATCAAATCAACTGAGAGAAATGAGTGACGTTTGGAATCTGTATCAGTGTAAGCAGTGGGATGACTCATAAATAAATTTATCATTTAGTGCTTCACATCTTTTTGAAGCTCTTGTTTACTGTGCTGAACACATCCAGTGTTAATCTGTGGTCAGAACTTGATTTTGTAAATCTTGAAGCAAATTCGTATTTAGTTATTTCTAAAAAATATTTTATTGAAAATGTATTACAGGTTGCAGTTACTGGGACCAAGTGTAAAAAGCGTGCGTGCTTTCTGAGGGCTTTTGAGGGAGTCGGCGGTAACTGGTTTCACCGAATCTATATCCAGCCAATGCTAAATAAATCTCCAAACTAAAAGAATGCACATCTAAGGATTTCTTGCCTGTGCATATGCATGGTGGCATATCTTACAGCACCACTTGAAAACTGTAATGCAGTTATCCAAGGAGTGGGGCAAGTGGTCTTAGCTCAGATGAGGTACGGGTGCCTCACCTCTGTAAGGCAGGGGCTGCCTTTTGCCCACAAGTTTGGAAATCTGCAACTGAGATCTACGTGCTTGAAGTGTGGTAAATGATATGCAAGTGTAGATACATAATCACGTTATCTTTGCCAGTAAATCCAGCTTAAAAAGTCCCCATCTTTGGCTGCTTACTCCTGCTTCTGTGCTACAAGGGTAATTTTTTAACCAGTATCACTTCAGTTTTCCCCATACAGAGTTAGCTTGGTGCAGCTGTGGAGGTGGTGACACAGTGCAAGAGCAGAAATGAGTGGTCAAGAAACACTAGAAGAATGTGGGGCTTCCATCCCGTTAGTGTATATTGCCCACTGATGTCACATGCTGTGACACACCAAAGCCCAAAAGCCAACCCGTGACATGTTTTTTCTTTCCTGACCACAGCTCAGGAAATAAGGCAGTATCTTCCCATGCTAAGCACCTTCTAGTCTATTATCCTCTGTTGTCTGTTGCCATCTAGAAACTGTTACGAAAATGAAAACTTTTAAACTCATTTTAGAAACTTGCTGTGAGTTTTATTTGTATAATTAAAAGGATTAATATTAACCACACTGTAACAATTACAGATGAATATTCCACAAGGGCATACTGCAAAACAACATGCTGTCCCTGGGAGATAATTTACTATTGATTGCAGACACAGCTAGAATAGAGTATTTAATGTCATGGATAACCAGGTATCTCCTTAGTTGCTAAAGATTAAAAATGACTGAACAGCACTCAATTTTAAGATGGGAAGTAAGTGATGCCCAGCAAATTTGTCTTCAATAAGATCTGTTGAGGGAGGAGGCTGAATTATTGAAACATGGAGTTGAAACTCAAAACTATGTTCTACTGTAGTATTTTATAGAAAAATAGTATTTGACACATTTGTGTCTCAGGCTTACTATATTTTTGAATGGTAGTGGTTTTGAAAGGGAGCCCCAACAAAACCATTGCAGACCAGTGGTGACACCACTGTGCAACATAATCATCCAATAATATATAATTACGAAAGCTGCAGGGGAAAAAAGTAAGGTAACTTGAGTTTCTTCCACTGACACAAACAGCGATCTTTTAAAAGGGCTTTTCTTTTAACTGTTTCTAATATCTGAAGGTAGAAACAAAAGCCGATGCAAAGGTGGAAAGGGTTCATAACCCTATGGGCATGACCCTCAGGAGCTTAATCCCCTTACCTCCTCTAAACCTTACTGAAGTCACTCTTATAGGGCAGGTGCTACTGGGACAGAGCTACTAACTAAGGTAAAGATTACACTGGAATTACTGGGTGTAATCTGTGTTCCTACTTTTAAGTACATCGTTAGTCCCTTGGCTTGATGCACTTGTGCAGGTGAATTTAAAAGAATAGATGGAGTCTCAAACCAGTTGTAATAAGAAAGGCTGGAGGATAAAAAGTCAAAAGTCTAGAAGTCAAAAGCTGAGTGGCAATAAAAATAGATTATAAATGTCAGTATCCAAAAATGATAATTTCCTGTGGTACTCGTTGCAGCTGTCATATTTGTACTCGAGAAACTGGAGAAGTGATTGAGGTTCCAAAACGATCTGGCTTGGAAAACAGCACCTCTGCAACCCCCTTTCCTTCCCAGACTCCTTGGTCCTTGTATGTTGGGGTTGCTCTTTGGGTTTCAGAGAACAGTTCTGTTACTGTATCTTGTGCAAGGGTTCCTGGAAAAATTCTGGTTTTGAATATAGAGTTGTTTACCAACGAGGTGATAAATCAGTCAGTTTTATTGAGATGTCCCTGGGCTGCCTTTCTAAAATACAGTTTGTACGTAACGACGATCTTTACCCTGATGCGTGTCCCTTCATCACTTTTACTCATCGAGGTTACCTGTGCAGTTAATGTTTGGTACGTGTTGCTTGTTGTCTGGGTGAGCGTTTTTAAGAGCGAACTGTTAGTCGTGCTCTCTGAAAGCAGGATATGAAAAAATAAGAATGAGTGAAGCACATGTGGTACTTGTCTGTGGTCTAACTGTTTGTGGGACTGGAACCACATCAGCAGTGAATGTGCGCCTGCTTAGGTCTCACAGCTGTCTCTGATTATTTTTACTGTCCCTTGTTTACCAAATAAACCTGGAGAAAGTAGAATAATTCAGAATATCTGACGTTTTGACATCCAGTGGCTACTTCTAGTGAAGCATTTCATGAAATCAGCCCTGATCAGCTGCAGTGCATTTAAATTTAGTCCTGTTCACAAAACATCTGCCTGGGATGGGAAGTAGAAGAGTTTTACATAACATTTCTGTAATAAATTAGCTCTGCTGTCATGAACCAAGATTAAAACTCACGGATAACATTTTCCTCAACAGCGGTCTCAGCTTTTGTCACTACACGTAATTACACAGATGACAAAGATTCTCTAAGACCTGGCCAAACCAAGGAGAAAAGAGTTTCTTTTTATAAGGATATCCCAAAATAATAACCAAAGAGACTACTCCTCAGCCCTGCAGTGATAAGTTCCTTAAGTTTTTTAAGGCTGAAAATAATCTTGCTTTGCCACTGCAACCTACTTTTAATTCTATTTGTACACCTGCCATTTGCTTAAAAATTGAAGTGATATTCTGTCTGAAGAGAAAAACCTTGCGCTGTGTTAAACCTAATACTTTTTTTTTAAAGGTGTTAAACAAGAAATAACAATGAGTTTAGAACAGCAGGAGTTTAAGACGGGCTGACTGGCAAAACAGGTTGGGTTTATTCCCATGCAGGGCATATCCAGCCTCTGGTGTGTACTTGAGGTGTGTGCTTTAATCTGTTAGTGAGAGGTAAAGTACAGATGTTGGGGATTTTGTCTTTCTCTAAGGGTTCCAGTATGTGAGAGGCAATGGGTTATTGGAAGCCCCTGTTCACTGTCTCCTGAGCAATTGTGTGCAGCCTGTTCAGAAGAGGCACCCGCAGTGGTACACAGCCTTTGAAAGAGGAAGTAGATATAGGAAGCAAGCTTTAACTGCGTGGAAGTGGGAGGAAGATAAGAATCATTACTAGACATCATTACTACATTAATTTTTTCCCTAGGGACTTGATTCAGCAAGACACCGAAATTCTGTGCAATTATAAGGACTTGAATTTCCCACAGCTTTATTTAAACCACTTTCTTGAGGTGGACATGGATACTTTGGTGAATTCTGATTTTCTTTTCCCCTTTTTTCTTCATTCCTGAAATCCGGTGGCAATTAAAAATACAGAACGTACAATATTGACTAAGCCGCTTGCCATCGTTGATGATATATAGGCATATTTATAGCTAAGTATCCCAAGACTACCTCATAGGGCAGCAAAACCACCTGATACCTCTGAAAGGTCTGAGATGAATTGTTCTCTTTCTGAGCCACACACACCACAAAACCCACAGGAAGTTGTCTCTGTAGTGGCTGCGGTTCTGCAGTTTCCTTCTTCCCTGTCTTTAAGTGGTCAAAAGACTTCTTAAAAAGTTAAATCGACACAGAGTAGAAAACAGACTTCCTGTTCTTGCAGTGTAACAGATAGACATGCCTTCAGTTTGCAAGAAGGATTCACCCATCCGATTGTCCTTCTGTGTCCTTTCAATCAATTTAGGGTTATGGTTTTAACTATACTGATTAAATAGTAGTTTTATTTTTAGGTTTCCTACCAAGAAAATTATAATAGTACTTTTTTTAGATCTCCCAGGAGCAGTTATTTAAATGATGAGTTAAGCGCTTGCTTTTCTTCAGCTGTTGACTTTAAAGACAATTTTCTCTCTAAAGATGAGGAAGCCATCCTGTTTGCAAGACCTAAAAGGGCAGTGTTGGGAATATGATTTAAAATTCTAATCCTTCAGCTGACAGATGGGACTTGGTAAATATATCTGTATCTAACTGAATGTACTATATAAAGGACATATATCTGCACAAACACTGACATGTATATATCCTTGCTATATATTGATATGTGCATATATATATACAGACATTTGCTTTCTCCTTAAAACCTTTTCAAAGGGAATACATGAATAGAGTGGAATCCCAACAGGCTTCAAAAAACATAAGTTCCTCATTTCAGAGATGAATTTTGTAATGTTTTATTAAGAATTAAAACAAGAAAGTTAAATAGAAGGTTTCTTTCAGTTAGTATAATTATTTTAGTTTGATTCAACCAACATTTGATCTGGCATTTTCAGAAAGGACAAGAATATAGTCCTGCTATTGCTTTGTTTAAAAACAAGCAAAAACATTCATTAAATAAAATAAATAATTTGTATCTACCAACAAGTATATGCATTTTACCAATGCTAGTAGAATAAGATGGCATTTCTAGCTCCTCCAATTCATATCAAGAGTAGAGATGGAGTTTTAAACAAGTGTTAGAAGGAAGGACAAGGGAGATGGGGGGGGGGAAGCAAGGAACAAAGGAAAAAAAACCGGGGAAACAAACAAACAAACAAATCCCATTAGCTGCTGTGGCCCAAAAGAGTTATATATGTCCTCTCCCAGACTGGTGACAATATCCACTGCCAGATGTTTCACACCCTAGACAGAAGTCCTTCCTTGTTAAATAGTCTCTGTCCTTGTCAAATTTAGTGTGTGCATTGATGGCATTTTCTCATCTGGTATAAGATGATAGAAAACTGGCACCTCCATCATTGCTGGAACTTTCTCTGCTTAATGCTTTACTTTCATCCTTTTATTTGTTCTCCATCTTTCTCCCAACACCCAGATAAATACTTTTCTTTCCCGTGGTCCTTCTCCCCTATTTTAGGGATCCATCTCCACCTCTCCGTGTGCGCATGGCTTTGGTCCTCTTTCAGTCACCCGCCGTTCATACGCCTCATCTTGTTTCATGGTCTTTAATCTTTGTTCCCAGCCTGTCCTCCTCCCCAGCCCGCAGGCATTGCCCACCCTGCTCAGAACTGTTATTCCAGGAGGGCAGATGAAAAGGAGGGATTATTTTACGCTACTTTTTATCAGATCACCCTCCCCAGAGTTTCTTTTCGTGCGTCTCAGCACCTTGAAATCTTCCCCCTCCTTCCTGTTGTGATCTCAGCCTTTTCCTTCCTGCCGCCTCTGGTCAATACTCCTAGATTCTGGCAATGAAGCCTGTGGGCATAAAAAACGTCCCATTCCACCTTCTGCATGTGTAGATAGATTAAAAAAAACGTATCTGAGGCTTAGTTACGTCTAGCAATTAACAAATAAAAAACCTGCAGTAATGTCTTCATAGCAGGCGCCAGTAGAGGAGCTTTGTCAGAAGGCCGTGCTGCAACGTAGGGGACCTGTGGTGTGGAGGAGCCCCCCCTGAACTGAGCACAGCTGCTGTGGGGGGTGATGCCTCGGCATTCCGTACTCCGGGAGAGCCTGGTGCCGGAGAGTCGGGGATGGTGGTGAGGAAAGCTAGAGGTTACAGGAGCTCTGAGGCTGCCTGAGGACATTCTAGGGAGCGGGCTGGCACTGTGTCTGCCGAGAGAGAAGGTCCCCTGGGTCACTCTGCCTTCTCCGCGCCGTGGCCGAGGAGTTGGCCCTTCCCCCTGATTTCGGACTGCTGCCTTGGGAATTTGCTTCAGCTATTTCCTGGAATATGAATTTGTTTATTTTCAAAGGAGAACAAACGTAAAGCTCATACAGTAGCTTTGGGTAGGGCGTTTCTTTGTAGTGGAGTGATTTGGATCATTGAGTTATTGCCTCTTTTAAAGAATGTAGGTACTGCTGGAGGTGGCTGGGAGCACGAAAGCAGCTGGTGGCACATAAAAAGTACAACTGCAAGAACGTTGTGGCCCTGATACCATGCCTCTTACTGTCATCTGTGCCTTGTGAAATGTTTGCAAAGCAGTGCAAAATACTCTGATTTTGGCATGGGATTTTTTCTCACGTTTTCCTTTCACTAGAAGTTGGTCTATCTGATTAGTCGTGATACTTCTGCTCTACTCCAATATTTAATGAGTAAATTAACCAACATAATAAACTGTGGAGCCTAGTGATGTGGCTAAGGCACAGAGCGTGTCACCTTTTCACGGAGGTTTGAAGCACTGTAGCGGGTGATTGTTTTGGAAGTGGATCGATTGACTCTCCACTTGGTCCCACAAACCTGGGGGTGTGATTAACAGCCGGTGCCACGCGCCGCTGGGTCGCAGCGAGGCCAGAACGTGCCTGCAGCTCCCGCTCCATTCTCATCCCCAGCCCCGTCCTGCGTGGGTGAGGCACCCACCCGCCTAAAGGGAGAGAATGTCTTTAAAAAGTCTCTTTCTAAATGGAAAAAAATATGTTTGCAGTGTTTCTCTTAGTGCTTAACTAAATACTTACTTTGCAAAAGGCACTGAAACCTCTTGGCCTAAAATACTTGAAAAAGTTTATTTTTCGAAGCCGCGGGGAGCAGCTCGTGGTGCCGTAGGAAATGCTAAGGCTATGGAGTCATCACCTCACACCAACCCCAAATCTCACAAGCCGTTTCCTTTTTGTGCCTTTATTGCTTTTATCTCCAGAACAAAATGTACCATTAGAACTCGCGCACCCGCGTCCCGCCCCCTTCAAACAACAGACGAACGCGGCGCCGGTTCGAGCCCTCCCCGAGGGACCCCCCGGGCCCGCGGACCCCGGCCCAGGGACACCCCGGGCCCCTCGGCAAATCCACACCCCCCTCCTGCCCTGGACGTTCTCTTCTCCAGACCGAATGGTCTGAAGTCTCTCAGCCTTTTCTCACAGGAGACATGCTCCAGGACCTTAATCATCTTGGTGGTCCCTCACTGTACTCTCTCCAGCACCTCCAGATCTCTCTTGTCCCAGTGAGCCCAGAACTGGACACAGTGCTCCAAGTGGGGTCTCACCAATGTTGAGTAGAGTGGAAGGATCATTACCTCCCTCAACCTGAAGGCAACACTATTTGTAGTGCAGCCCAGGGTACCATTAAGATTCTTTGCCCCAAGCACACGTCGCTGGCTGATGTTCAACTAAGTGTCCACTAGGACTATTAAGAGACCAACTTAAAAAGATTAAGTTTGCAAGATCAGCTACCATACTTCATTTCTTAGATATTATTTTCAGGACAGCATTATGGCTTGAGAATGCAACTTTTTTTCAAATT